GCTGCAGAATTAGCGGTTTCTCAAGAAGGACTCGAATTCATGAGTAAGTGACCCCACAGATGGCACTAGCAGTAGGCATTGGTGTTCACGGACGTGGTTTGTTCGCTAGACTATTAGCACAAATTTCTACCTCCCCTTTCTATCTTAGTTCCATGAATGTTCCGTGCTTTACCACAAGTTTTATTGCATATTTTCCAGTTTTCTCCATTCGACATAGCCTTTTCTCAGGTATTCAAATATCTGTAGCAAAGAGCACACGTATCAAAGATAAGCAGCGACACACACAGAGAGAGCCTACACAGAACAATACCTGAACAGCGATAAAACAAGAAGTGGCCGCTGCAGACATAGGGCGTGTACCCCGAGAAATTTTAATTTTTAAAAATTTGGAAAAAGAAAAAGAACAGAAAATTTTTAGACATTTTAATTTGAATTGAAGTTTTAAAAAAGTGCCAATTTTAGAAATCAAATTGACGCTTGTAGGTTAACAAAGATTTTATACATACATACAACAGGAGAGACTGGTGATTTTAAATTTTAAACTACGGGCAGTGTAGCAGCTACGTAAGAATACACACCTGATGATGGCCATTTAGGGCCGAAACATGTAGTGTGGAGGAAGGGAAGAAGAAAGAACTACAATTAAATTGTTTCACTTAAGACGGAGTTTGTCTCATATATATCTGTAGTAAATCCGACATCGGCTGTAAAGTCTTTCAAAGGAACCCAGCAGAGTTTGTGTCTCCCACCTTATCACCTGAGGACAGAAATAGATCCAGTTTCATAAACGTTGTCTTTCATAGTTTCTAGAATACCGGACGATGGAAAAAATCCGTGAAACCAGTAATTCTGATGTTCCTTTACTGTTTATGAGAATGCCTGTGCAGCATTAACCTAACAGGAGTCTAGATGAAAGAGCTCGAGCGAAGCGAAATCAGGATGTGTTCATCACACACATCAACAAACATTACACTCTGCATTTACGTGTACGTATATATATAATTTTTTTATTGAGTGGGTGTGATAAAATTTTTGGCCAAAATTCACTGCATCGCTTAAGTCATATGACATGAGCGGACCTAAGACGAAGTAACACGAATATGTCAGACACGTAGAAATAAGAAATTTCGTCATTTCAGCCCTGTCTACTTTACGCAAGACGCCAGTTTGTAATAAAAATTTCTCATACATGTAGACATAAGCGATTTTGTCATTTCAGGCCTGTTCACTACGCAAGACTCCAGTTTGTAATAAAAATTTCTCATACATGTAGACATAAGCGATTTTGTCATTTCAGGCCTGTTCACTACGCAAGACTCCAGTTTGTAATAAAAATTTCTCATACATGTAGACATAAGCGATTTTGTCATTTCGGGCCTGTTCACTACGCAAGACGCTAGTTTGCAATAAAAATTTCTATCAACTAATCTGAACTGCAAGATTTGGCTCTACAATGAATAGCATACAAACTGTTAAGGAGAATGAAGTAACTCGAGAGTATAACGTTCCACACAATTTCCTGAAGGCCCAACAAACCGCGAGTCGCGTATTTAGAGAAGACAGCTTCACACCGAGCGATGCTTTTTAATGTCATTACGCTGTGCAAATCTCGTTTTATGAAACAAGATTTATGTAGGAATTCGAGTCAAATGAATTTCTCCATTTAAATAATGGAGCTGCGTTGAAACGGAATAGCAGCAGTAATGAAGGAGGATCTAGCAATTTCACCGCACAGCGCCTATCCTAATGTATCATTAGGATCTGATCCGTTACTACGGAGACAACTGGACAGATGCCCAAACTCTGGCATGTATCGTTGCAGTTTGGATGCGTGAACAGAGAAAAGCAAACTAAACTCGTCCAGCGTGATGTGTAGCACATGGCGTCCCTACGCCTGCCAGATAGTGTGGTGCATAGACCTCTTGTTAGGCCAAGCCCTCGAAACAAATGAGACAACAGACATTACTATTATAGTTCTGTATATTCTAATTTGTAAGTGTTTAGACACCAGACTAGAAGACAAAAGGTTCTAAACTGAATGGTACCAAGCATTACACTAATTCAATCTCCTCTTAATTTCTTCCTGTCTCAAATTTTGATTTGTTACTGTCCGTCAAAAATATTTGAGCTGTGTTATATTTTCAAAGGATCTGTTAGCTATCTTTATGTTATGAATTGATTTTGTCCTATATTCTGGTAACGAGACAGCAACATATACTTAGTTTCTCTGCGTTTTCTTCTAGACCAACCATCTTACTAACGTCAATTAAGAGTTTTTGTGTTTTCCTTTGAGCTGTCTCTCAGTAGGTTCATATAGGTTCGGCATAGAGCAGCGACTTATGTATCCTATTTAATTTCAGTCCCGCCTGGTTTTCCTGGACCTCCTAATGGCATATTCTAAAAAAAAGTCGACAAGCAATGGTAATAAAGAATCTCACTGTTGTAGATCAGATAGGAAAATTACCATACAAATATTAACCTAAATGGGCTTTACTGTTTACTGTACGTTTGGTTTAAGCACATTTTAATCAGCTTAACTAGTTTCACGTGTACTCGAAACTCTATAAGTATACTGTACAATACTTTCCTCCTAACTGAATCATAGGCTTTCTTGAAGTCTATGAATAGCTGATGTACTGTCTCATTGTAATCCCATTTTTTTTTCAGTATCTGACGAATGCAAAAGATCTTATAGTAGTTGATCTGTTGCGTCGAAATCCACACTGATGATCCCCAATAATTTCATCTATATATGGACTTAACCTTGAGAGAAGAATATTGGATAAAATTTTGTTTGAAATTCATAATAGTGAAATCCCACGATAATTAATAGTCATTTTTATTTCCCTTCCACTCAAACCTCTATAGGTGTATTCAAACTCAGATCCATGCAAGGTAAATGTATATATATACACATATATATATATATATATAGGTATATCCTAGTTAGATATAAGGTTGGGTACGCCTCTGGTGTTTGGAGTTCTACCACGTGTACTGATTCCAGCTAACTAGAATGCTCCCAGCAGAAGTTTGTAGCCTTTTGCCTTCTTCTGCCCGTGCCTCTCTAAGGCAGACTTAGGCCTCAGAACAGTTAAAATTTCACACTTTACGTAAGAGGGTTACCGCATTGATATGATTTTCCAAGTTTTCATTATTTTATATCCTGTCCTTCTTGTTCCTGCTCGGTACATCAGAGCTTTTTCCTTGTTCAATATTGACCTTCAATACAAAAATATCCTTTTGTTAGATGCGCTTCAGGTGATAGTTCACTTTGCAGGGACTTTTACGTTTATGAAGCCATAACTGCTTTACGCCACCATATTTTGTAATGGAAATTTCTTACTTATAAAAATATTACTTGCACTTAATATGAATATTGTGGCATGTAAAGCCGTTGTTAAGCAACGGCAGTGAAATGAGGGACTATACAACAACCGTTGCTAAGTAACGCTGCGCAAACAAACATATATCCAAGGCAACAATTGCATTGCAACAGAGAAACTGTGTTTTATACGCGGTAAATGCTGAGATGTTATAAGCAGGACAAGTTAGAAGCTGCACTTAGTTGGATAACCGCAGGGGTTCAGTCGTTGTGAGCTGCTGTGGTGAGAAGCTGGTAGCTGAGGCCGGGAATAGTTCGGGAAACCAGAGGAAGGGAAATTCCGCTGTTGAAAGCCGCTACCAAGCAACGGCTAGTGAAAACTGTAACAGACGGATAAGACCTAGTGTGCTCTATAGTGATGTGCTAAGCGTGTAAAACAGTGGGAGCATAAGCCTTATTTGTAGTTCCGAATGTAAGAGCTCAATAAATCCGATTACCAATCCAAACCCATCTAGTCATTATAATCATAAAGAAATATGTTGATGCATATACTTCTATCCTCAAATCCGCCAAACGGCTGGTGCTACTGCATTTATTCAAATTTTATTGTTGTTTAATTGACACAAGTTCGCTTGTTTCGTCTTCATGTGCTGTATTTGTTTCCTTCTTCCCCCCTGTTTATTTTATAATCTCCCTTTTGACAGTTAAGAAGCATGTAAATAAATAAGGGAATGAACTGATTTACACTGTCAACACAGAAGCGAAACTTAGTGTTTATGATAGGTGAGGATCTTCATCACTAGCTGAAAGACCATTGGATTAGCCAGTTGGACTCCGTTCTGCTCATATAATTTAGCTATTATTATTATTATTATTACTATTAAAGTAAAGTAAAGCTATCCCTGTAACAGACCGTCAAGGCTGCTACATTTTCTAGAAAATCGGCTCACAGATGGCGGTGAGTTTGTCAGCCTTAAGCGCTGGCTGTCCTTTACACATACGGAAAATTCCTGATATTAATTTCTGTTAGAGGCTGAGTCGACCCCAGGACCATACTGCGGCTGAAACGATTAGGTCAATTGAAAAATCCAATAAGCTCATCGAGAATCGAACCCACAACCTTCCGGTTTATAGCACAGTGCCTCAACCAACTACGTTAGCACGTGTCCTATTATTATTATTATTATTATTATTATTATTATTATTATTATCACCATCATCACCGACAACAACTTTTCAAGTCTTTTATCTCGCAAAGATTACTTCCCCGGCCAAATGTGTTTCTGCTGTAAATGTTGCCTGGAGGTCTCTTGTACTGCTTCTAAAAGTAATGGCTTTCTATAACTGATATTTTTAAATCAGTTAACAACAATTATATCAATATTTAACGTTTCTGTTTTAGCCTTAAATTTTCATACATTCTTTAATTTTTAGCCTTACGATCTGTATATTCATCATCTCTTTCTTCTGTTAGTTTTTCTGTATCTTCTGCATTAATGTATTTTTACTTCCTCAGTTCTTGTTTATAATTGGCTTTTTGCTGTTGGTAAACATGGCTCGCGTCTCAAAGGATGTGAAGAGGGTAAATTTATTTGTGTGAACTATTTAGAGAAAACGATGGAAGAGAGAATATATAGTAAACACAAAAATTGGGACTCGTCTGACGTACTTTAAAATGACTGCTAATCACGTGACACTGGAGCCGGATAGGACAAGAAAACGGAAAGAGAAATCGCTCTATTCGTCAGGTGGGAAGGGATTGAGCAGGAGCAATTTGACAGGTAAGAAGCATGCTGACAAGGGACGAACACACACCTCGACATCAGCTTCACAAAGAGGCATTCACGAGAACCAATGTTCAGTGAAATGAACGGTGAAAACTTGGCAACGTCATTTTATTCCTAGATCTCAAAATTAGGTTACAAATTCGAACTCAGTATATTTGGAGCACGTTTATTATTTTATGTTATGAAAATTGTCATACGAATGATAGTCTGTTTCTTGTCGATTTCTTTTATGTTCAGACAAATTTATTGAAATATGATCAATTTGAGAAAACAATTTGCATTATTTCCTCCATGCCTTTTAAATTTCCTGCATGAAAAGAGGCAAGCCACTGTGTTCATGAAGATATTTTAGAAATCAAGGTGGAATTGTTGGCTGAATAAGAGAATTAAATTTTACCATTCCGCTGAAAACCAATAGATCTCAACGAAAGAAGATTCGAACACATTACAATATGTATTACATATATTTAAAATCTACTTCTTGAATGCAAGTACTTAATGCAAATAAGACTTCATTATTATATTTAAAATTCCTCTCGGGAATTTCCGAGCCGTATAAATATGCAACTTCACTTCCGCCAACTAATCACATTTTCCCAACGACGTCTGAATGCATGTCTCACCTCTCCCTCCGGACCTCCTGCCTCTCCCATCCGAAATGGTATGCAGGAGATGCAGCGGGAGAGGCAAGGGTGGTCGCACAAATCGCCTATCAGGAGCTGTTTCCTAATCAATCCACCCCCTCACCCCTTGCTTTCGGATTTTTACGAGTTCAATCACACCGTAATAAAGAAATCGGAAACTACGCTCGATTCACAAGTGATTAGCGCGTGCATTTGCCCCATGCGCGGTTCCGCTGCGTTCCTTAATCCTATACACAGTCGGTAGGACTCCTTGTATGGGGGATCAGTAAGTGGCAAGGCCGCTACCTACACACAGAATAAACGCACACATCCATCCATGTCTTGAGTGGGATTCGAATCCATGATCCCAGTGTTCCAGCGAGAGAACATGTATTAGTCCGAATGGCCACTGTGATCAGCACTTTTTCAGTACTACCAACATTAATTCCTGAGTTAGACTAAAATTGGCCTTGGAAGATTTACTAATTTATAGCTTTGCCTCAAAAGCTCTGGATTTTTCGGGGAATAAACACGCCACGAATATAGGTTATGGAGTGTTTAGCATGCAGACGCAGCGTCAACGCACGTCAGGAAGTTCAGATCATCAGTTCCTGATGGTGCAAAACGTATTGTTCTGACCTATCCTGCCAATGCATAGGTTAGGTCTGAGACACAAGGTGAGCCAGTTTCTCCTAACAATATTTTCGCTAGCGCAGTAACACGGTGGAGTGAAGGGCGTTAATTTTCTGCGATATAATATGACAGAGTCAGGAAGATCACTCACCTCGTCAGATACTGCAAATAGACGTATGACAACAAAGACAAACGAAATTCTCTCATTTTCGCATGGTCTCGTCCTCTTCCTTCCCCGAGCCCTGATGGAGCCTGTCTGCCTTTGTTTCCGTTCCACTATTGTCAGCAATTCTTTTTACTAATGGACTTTAATGGCGTTCACCACCGGATATTATGAGCCCATAAGTCTCTGCTTTAAAAGTGATTTTCTGTTTCTGTCACATAAAAGACATAACGTCACATCTCCCACCAGCCCGAACTTCACCACCATTAATTTTCTCTCGCCTAATAAGAAAAGGGGGAAATAGTTAGAAGAAGCAATTAGGGAGAGATGAATTAATGTAACAATGACGTTAATCAGATAATTAGATGACGTCGCGATTTTCTGGTGCCTGAATATACACATTTTACATCAAGCACTTTTCTTTAAAGACGCTTTCTAGTGAGATGGAAGTAGACATTGCACAAGAATGCTAAAGCATCTTATTGAAAAGTAGAGAAAAACAACGCTACAAGTTTATAAGTACCAAAATCATTAATATCCCATACTGAGTTATGAACTGACGTCACATTAATTTACGGATAACTGCGCCCTTTTGAAATAAAAAAAAACTGCGAGAATTTTTACCTCGATCGCAGTGTAAGAGAGGAAACGAGTACGCGGAAGGCTTAAATTCGCAGAAATTGCTAAGCTCTGAAACAGACACTGGAACCTTGTTTACAAGATTATGGCCCATATGGACTGGCATGGACACACATCGTCATTATCAGTATTATCAACATCATCACCCTCTACAAATGTAATCTTACTAGACTGTTCCGATTGAAGTTTGAAACCAGACTTTGTCCTTCCATCTCCTGCGCCATATACCCATTCTTCTCCTTCCTGTCAGTGCACTCTCAAAATGGCGGAATAAGTAACCTGATATCCAACTCTTTTGTCAGAGTTGTAGGATATATTTAGTTCTCGTCTCTTTGTTTTGGTTTCTGACGTGATCTGTTCTCCTACAAACTGCAACAGCCCTTCGCTTTTTTTTTTTTTTTAGAGTCTTAGGGTGAGGTGAGTCCATTTGGTACTGCGGCCAATACTGACCTACTGTACCAGCCCCAGATGAAAGCTGATGATGAACGTGGAGAAATCGGTGGAACGAAGATTGGTAGGGGAAACAGAAGTACTCGGAGATAACCTGCCACAGTGGCACTTTGTTCACCACAAATCCCATACGACCTGAGCTGGGCTCGAACCCGGATCGCCGTGGTGCGAAGCCGGCGGCTAACCGCTTGAGCTATGGCCCTTAGAGAGCTAAGTTGGGCTCTCCTGTTGCTGAGTTAGGGCCCTGCACAGCAGTGTGGGTACACATTACTGTACACAACTCCAGGGCGGTCCATGCCTCGCCTGCACTAGGCAGCTCTCTCATGCAGGCTCGCTGGATCTTGCATAACTGCACGTCAGAGCCAGGAGGATGGTTACGATATGAATGTCATCCCAAGCGTTAAGCAGTTCTGACTTGTTCAGTTGTTTCGTCATCCGGCCCAATTCTGGCTCGTGCCGTTGAACTGCCATGGAGTGACAGCACCATTGTCTTAGCACTGATACTTCCAGGTGGATCAAATTACATACGTAATCGGACACCATCACCTGCTCTTGCTCAAACAGCAGAGTTGTTACGGTAGCATATGTCAACAATATAGCCTACATTCTTCAACATGTGGATGATATAGAATATTATGACATGTAGACCTACTGCCAAGTAACAGCTGTGTAAACAAACGACAGTGCAACAGTCATTGCTAGGGAACAACTCTGTGGACATGTTGTTTCCCCAGCAAGGAGAGAAACTGAAATAATGGAAGATTTCTGCGCGGTACGTGCCAGGGCCACATAATTAGACTGATGGTCAGTTGAGTTTGTAGTTGTGAGAAATGAGAAGCTGGTAGCTGAGGCCGGGGGCAATTCGAGAACCCAGAGGAAGGGGGAAAGTCCGCTGTTGGGAGCAGCTACCAAACAAAGGCTAACGAAGTGTGAGAAAATTTTATGTGTACTGTAGTTACAGTGATCTTTGCAATAGTTATTTTTAGTTACGAGATATTGAAGAGTTCAATAAACCAAGTTACAAAACCAGTCCCCGTCTATCGTCACACGCATTTTCCTTACTGCTGAATAAATCTTCTCCAGGTATTGCCTCTAACTTTGTGGTATCTACATACTGGTCATTTCAGTATGCGCAAGGTATTCCGGAAAGTTCTGAAGCCTTGTCTTCAATGATGTTATTACAATTATATTATTTAACAGAAGGTCACACATGTTTGTAACGCTAAAAATCGGTTCTCGGGGACATGAAGTACTGGATAAACATTCAGTTCGCTCAAGCCCAGCTCAAGTGCAGACCTCAGTAAAGACGACGAGCTTGTCTTTCTGTTGGTTATTTAACGACGCTATGAATAAACATTGAGAGTACTAGGAAAAAGATGAAGTTTTCCTTTTGCTTTAGTAAATAAGCACTACGTCATGAAGGCGTATGGGGGAGTGGTTATGTCCTTCTGACGAAGTGCGTTTCTAATTTCTCTCTGAAATTTCAAAGGGCTTCCTTTGCAACTATGAACAAAATAACAAAACGAACTACCAACACAAATGGCTGAACTATTTGGAAAGAGCGTGAAAACCGGATACCGAAGCTGGCGTACCAATATAAACGGCGTCAGTAGACGTCAGGGACATGCAACAGTAAGACTGAAGGAACAGTTTTAATCCTTGTAACCAGGTCAGGCCAAGAGCTTAATTCGCGACAACGGTGATGCCGATATTGATGGCGGTGGTTCTGCTGGTGGTGCTGATGATGCTGGTGGCGTTGTTGGTGATGGTGGTGGTTGTGCTGGTGGTGGTGCTGTTGGTGTTGGTTGTGTTGGTGGTGTTGGTGTTGGTTGTGCTGGTGTTGGTTATTGCTGCGCTGGAAGTAGTGTTGGCGATGCTAGTGGTGGTGTTGGTTCTGGTGGTGGTGGTGATGATGGTTGTACTGGTAGTGATATTGGCGGTGTTGGTGGTGGTGCTGTTGACGGTGCTGGTGGTGATGATGGTTGTGCTGGTAGTGATATTGGCGCTGCTGCTGCTGGTGGTGGTATTTCCACGTTTCTGCTTACTACGTATTACATAGTTATGCCCTAGTCTTATAATATGGAAACCGAGCAATAAAATAAAGCCTTATATGTTCAGTGCTGGACTAAGAAATCGAGTTTTCATAATTATGTGCATTACCGGGCCCGTCGCAGCGCGCTCTGCAGGTAACAACGGGATACACAAAACCCCATTCCTCATATCAGGCGCTTCAAACGAAATGGGAGAGCGATAACATCCTTTAGAACTGTTGAGTATTCCCCTTCCAATGCTGCAACATGTTTGACACAATAACATAAAGAAGGGCAGGGGGTCGGGGGGGATTGGGTTTGAAGAGCGAATAATGTCCCTCTTGTCACCCCAACAGAGAAAGGAAAAAGAAATTGTGCTCATTACCTTGTTTTCTCTTGTGGCCCGTCATACTGATGCACACACAACAACATCTCTCGGACAGCATGGACAACTCCCGCGTGTAGACCAGTTCAAGAAACAGGGCTGTAGCCCACTGCCTGCACGGTAAACACTGAAACCACGGGTTCAAGTCCAGCTTTAAGCACTTATTGTGTCCTACTTTGATTCCCGTCCAAAGAAGACCAATCACTGCTCTCAGATATACGAACAGCGCAGGAGCGCACGTACCATCGACCTGCAGCTTCAAAGGACAACGCACCTTTTATATTCTTTGTTTCCACTTGTTTGATACGAGATTAGTAGCACTTAGTTGGTATAGGGTCAAGAAGAAATTGACAGCGCTTCGTGGCTTCAGTCTTCTTCAACCCAAAACAGAGCCATTTATTGACTTCTCTCTCTCTCTGTAGGTTGAGATGCTGGGTGCAGGGCGACATAAACTCATAATCATATGTCTGAAGAACATTTTATTTTGTGTACATATGTGACATTCCGTTAAGATTCCTTGAATTTTAATCGGTGTTATTCCTTAAGCTGTACACTTTTGCTAATGACAGCCCTACACAAATTTCTTATAAATAAAATAAAGCCCGCGTACGGTTTCTCTGCAGAGCAGTGGATTTGTAAAATAATGGAGGAATATCTTAAAAGCAGCGAATTTAATTGATGATTTGGATTCGCTGAAATTGAATAATAGAATAACGGGAAAACCTTGATATGAGGAATAGAAAATGGATAGTTTATTATACTTACTGAGTTTATTGCAAAACTCTAGACAAACTTTCTGTATCAGTTTCAAATTTAACTAATTAAGATTCGTATGATTTAGAGTGGCGCATTATAAAGACACTTTAAAAACAATATAATGTGGCATGTCTGCTGAAACCCACAAATTGTGAGGCCAGCAGAGACAGACGTTGATAGGGAACGGATCTGAAAACACGCCCGTTGCTAGGCAATGGTTCAGTAGCCATCACGTGATCGCCTCAACAGACGAGCACGCAGCAATAGAACAACTGCTGGAAGCGGTGTTGTCTGTGAGGTTCGTGCCGCGGCTACGTAAAGGGGAGCAATCTGTAGTTAGAAGAGGTGGATTCGAACACCTCCGCCGTAGCTCTGGGTGTAGTACAAGTCGACGAGAAGTAAACCTGTTGCCTGGGGGTATAACTGGGCCGCCCTGTTCCTGAGGAATAAAAATAAGGGAACCTGACCCTCCATATTGGCGGAGTCTCGAATCTGATACCATAAAATATGGACCTGAGAACGACTGAGCTGGCGAGGGCCTGCAGCAATTGTAAACAATAGTCCCGTTCCCTCGCCAGAGAGGGCGCCCCACATTAATAAAACCTGCAACTGTCTGGCAGCAACAAAAATCTGGGCTTGGGCCCCAGATGTGTGGTTGACGGCAAGACAGACTGGCCGACTGACCATCGGCCGTAACACAAATTTAACATTGACTTCTGAGTTAGAAGTATAGGAAGTTGGTGAGAATGGCGGCCTGCCTGCGAGGAGGTGAGCTCGAGAGAAGAGGAACGCCCACCTTTGGAAGACGTTACCAAGCAGCGCAGTGAATACTGTGACTGAGAACACTCGTCTGTGTGTGATAGTGATTTGTGAAGTGAAGTCAAGAGTTGGTTGAAGAGTCAAATAAATCCAACTGCCCATCCAGACCCCGCCTATAGTCACTCGATCACGTGACAATAGATAAAAAATTACTTGATGGGAAAAATATAAGTACACGATTTATAAAGAGTTCATTTTGTAAACTGAGTTATAACAAATTGTTTCAGTTGGCCAACCGACGGCCAGCAAAAAAGAACCCAATTCCTCGTGTAATTGTACACTTATCTGATGCCCCATGCTCTCTGCCTTATTCAAACGTTTGTTTTCATCTTCAGCAAGACAACATTGCTCCATCTCGCCCATTAATCTTTATTTCTTTCGTTATTTCCTTTCACCGAATATTTTCTCTTAACAGATCGCACTTCAGATGCTTTCAATCGCCATACGGACACATGCCCACACAAACATGGACCGATATTGTGGTATTCATCCGAATTTAGAACTGTTTTCTGTGGTTTTCATCCTCAGAAGCACACGAGGGCTTTCCTGACACCTGGACAGACAGACAGACACGCAGTGTTGCGCAATTGAAGCCAATTTGTTTCGTATAAAAATAATAACCTCGCTGTTGCAGACTGCGAGCGCTTTACAATGATGGCGGCAGGAGCAGTGGAGGGGGTAAACCTCTTGAACTTTTTGAGTTATGTACCCTAAAATTCAGCGTTGAAAAGAAACGAGCCCCTCATCATGTTGATGTTTCCTTTTGTGATCTAACAAAACGCGATGTATACAAGAGTGTAATATTTCGAAAGAAAGTAGGACTAGCAGAAGGGAAGGAAGGAAGTATTCTTGTTTTCTGTCCCGCCTATGATATCAGATGGGATATTCTCAATTGCTTTGCCTTGGCGCGTTATCTATCGTATTAGGTTTCTAGTGATCATAAAGGAAACTGAAAATCTGCAATTGAATTAATACTTAGAATAATCTACTTCCACTATTAGAATACACGTCAAATACATACATGTTGGCAATGAGTTAAACAGAAGCGTAATAATCCACCAAAATTACATTGAGCTGTATGTACAACAACCGATCGCAGTGGCTGCGATTTAAGGCATGAACTGTCTTCACTATTTCGAACTCCGGGATTGTGGGTCCTAATCCCACTCAAGGCACGGATGTATGTCTGCGTTTATTCTGTGTTTGGGTTGTCCTGTGTATGTAGGGACCTTGCGTCTGTCTGATCCCCCATCCAAGGAGTCCTAATGATTGTCTAAGATTAAGAAACTGAAGTGAAACAAAGCGTTCCATTGATGTCTTATGCTCCAAGTGGGATCAAAAGGAATAGATAGAGAATATGTACATCAGCCGAACTGCAATGCACATGTTCATTTAAATCGTACGTAGCGACAGCTTGTGAACAGAAGTGAAACAGGGATTCCATCTTCTGGGATATAACACTGTCTACTCCGCTGAAAGTCAACCGACGTTTCGGAGGAGCATGTCGACTCCATCTTCATGTTCGATGAATGAGCTAAGGAAGAAACCAGCGGGGAGGTAGGAAACGGATCCATGTTCCTCCGAAAAGTCAGTTAAATTTCAGCGGGATTACACGGCATTATATCCCGGAAGACGGGAGAACTCTTCATAACCACCGGTGTGAGGACCTCAAACCCTACAGAACTGAACCCGTCCACTTGCTTTACTTCAGAGACATTCTGTGGTCTATGTACCCTCTCTAAATGACGTAGCCGACGGAATTTCTCGAAATACGGCACGGGCGTCACGTAGTTTTGACAGCCTCTCACATCTGCATCCTTTCATATTACTCGCAACGGAAGAAATTCACTGCTTTGTGAACCAACATGGAGGTCGCTACGTGCTTTCACGCGGTCAGTATCTCTGACTGTGCAACGTCGATTAGTGAATGATCAGTTGGAAAACAGGTGATAGGGAAGGGTCGTGACATATCTTCACGTACTGTTGCGCGCCGCATCTGTCTCCAGAGGCTGACCACAGCCTTAGTCGGTACGCACGGTATGTACCCGGGACCTCCCGAATAAGAAACGGGCATGCTAGCCAATTGTCCGTGATGTTCAGTTACACGAGCTGTCGGTAAATGACACGCAAGTTTTTAAGGTTTCTTTTTTATTTTATTCGGTTTCACTCTCACAATATACTGTGAGGTCTATACCCATTTCTAGGAGATGGGTCGGTAAAAGCATTCCTGCAACACAAACGCACGCAACAATAGGACGTCTATTGCTAGGCACAGGAGCGGTAAACGCTCTTTAACAAGAGAAAAGGTGTTTTCCGTGGGGTCTGCCCCGAGGCTATATAACGAGGATCTCACGGAGTTAGAAGGAGAATTGGGTCGAGATCTGGAGATGACAGTCGAAAATGTTTGAGAACAAATGGCAAAAAATGAATTAGGCTGTGACAAGAAGACTTCATGAGTGAATTCAAGTGACAGTGAGACTGTGATAAATCCCTTGCCAGGATACGACGAGTGAAAATTGATAACCCTAGTGCATGTGAAACGGTGTAGTGAAAAGTGTGTAGAACAGCGATAGCGCTGTGTTGCCTGTAGTCCCAAGTTGTGTGAATGTACAAGGCGCAATAAATTAAATCATCCAATCGAAAACCCGTTTTTAAATCATGCCTACGCGTTACAATACGTATAATTGTATGATAAATATACAGTTTATACAGTACGACATGTTTCGACCACTATTTGTGGCCATCATCAGGTAATACTTACAGTCACTCTCAACTCTCTCTGCTGTCCCCTCTCCATAGGTCAATGTTTACAGCTGGGGGAAGCTCGTATTCTTGTTCACAAGGTAGGGTTCCAGTTACAGACTTAAACAAATAATGTAAATTATATGTACCTCTGTCCTAGTGCTCTGAAGGGCATCCGTTATTCGCAATAAAAAAGTATTTTAATTTTGCCTTAAAACCTGCAAATCTACCTTTTTTTTATAATTAAGTTGACGTTGTTTTCTGTACACAACAGCATGAAGCCTGTTTGCCTTTTTTCTTAATGGCGGTAACCAAATGAGTACTGGTCCTAAAGTTGA